AAAAGATCGGGGGTTAGAAAAAAGACGGGGGGGGTTAAAAAAAAGCTATGCCGTCTTCTGATGCCGCGCAAATTCCCCCGCCCATAGTCACTCGTGACTGACTTTGTTAAAGTCTGTGCTTCCCCGTCTACATTCTCCACGTGTCTCCGCTGCTGGCAGGTGAGCTTTCTTTGCTTGACTTCTTGAAGTCAGAGGTCCATGTACCTGAACTGATGGGAGAGCAACGCCGGGGGTCGGAAGAGAGCAATGCCGGAGATTCGAAGAAGCCGGGCTCAGTGCAAGATGTAGGCAAATGTAGGCGCGCAGAGGGGGTCCATGGAGGCATCGGTGAAAACTCCGGGCACTCCCTCTGCTGGGTATTGGTGGCTCGGCCTGCTGCTGCATGGCGTTGCGGGCCTTGCGGTGCTCGGTGCAGCGCAGGCGAGACCTGCTGAATCACAGCTGATAGCCCAGGAGAAATCTTGCACGCGCAATCTGTGAGGTGGACGGGCGCTTGGGCTTTGCGGTGCTCATCGGATACTTCATTGTAACCCTGGGCTATGCCGTGAATGTGGATAGAGAGCCCAGGTGGGAAGGAAGCCTTGTTCCTTCATGATCACGTGCAGTTGTGGCTTTACAGGCTGGAGTCGAGCAGGAGCGCAGCTTGGGTTCTGGCAGGGTGCCCAGCTGTGGCCACAAGCTGCGAGCATTTGCGAGCCCTGTGAGTTAAGGTCTGTTGCCAGATACTCTTCTTGGGCTCTTGGCTCGCTCCCCGAAATCCAGCAGTGCAGAAGCCGCGCATCCCCTTCCTGACTTCCATAGATCTGGCGCGAGGCTCGGTGCCTTAGGCACCTCCCAAGAGGCATGGCGATATGGAGTATATATTACATAGCCAGGTCTGTCAGTGCATGTAGTAGCTGGGAGTTCCCAGTTCTTGGAGGTCTCGTCTGTTGTGAATACAGCGCCTGCAGGGCACGCTGCGCACACCTGAGTCACATAAGCAGACCGCTGAGCAAAGCGTAAAGTCGGCCTTGAAACTGTCACTGTCAGGTCTTCGAAGGGCAGCTGTACTTCTCCTCTTCCACTAACTCCACAAGGCTCCTCCGCCGAGGGTAGCGCACAGTGCTGCGCTCCCATCCTGATTCAAGGCTGCTCATGCGCAGCAATGGGACCTCCACCGAGCTGGTGCCTCCAGGCAGGGATGGAAACCACTTGAAGGGTGGCAAGCATGCAGATTCTGCTTTCTAAAGCCGTAGGCATCGAAGATGCGCGGGGCTTCCGCGAGCATGAGGGGCGCCTTACATTCTTCGGCGTCCCTAAGCTTCTTACTTGCCAGGAGGAGAAGATGTCAGAAGTTGTGGCCCTTTGTTGTAAGGCTTCAGGTGCAGCCGAGGGGCTCTGGGCGCTCCGGAGCTGTGGACCCGGAGCTTCCCTGGAAGATTCCGGAAGTCGTTAGGTGAAGAACTGTGACGTGCTCGTGACATCCAAGGTGACGGCAGCGCTGAGCTCCTTCATGTTTCGGCTGGTCGGCTTTTCCTGCATGGCGCACAGGCGCTGATAGATGCCTGCTAGTCCACACGCCTTGCATACCAAGGGCCGGCGATGCTGCCTTCAAGGTGCTGGAAGCCAGCATATTCAGTTGGCGTTGGTGGGGTGTATTGTTCCGGAGGCAGTGAGCACCTGCGGTCCCTTCCGCAGCGAGACGCTTCACCAGGTGAATCTAAGCCGGTGCCTCATTGTAAGCCTTGGATCCCTCAGTACTCAATGTACTGACTGACGAGCACAATCACGTACTGTGAGCAATCCTCCTTGAAATGGGCCATCTGTGCAAGACCAAAGGGGACAGGGCAGGAATGATGCAAGACTCGACAAGGAGAGCAAAGGGGCAACTTTCAATTGTGAGAACTCGAAAGCCAAGGCGAGGTACCGGTCCAGCAAGATGGCCAAGAATGCGCCAGCCTGGCTGCAGGCATGGAGTTGAGGCACCGTTCTCCATTACAAATTTACAAATGTTGACCTCATAAAGCATATCCCTGTGCCTCGTTTCTCCAGGCCCAGCACTTCTCGGCTCCTGGGTGTCCTGTTGCTCGGAGTCCTCCCGCAGACGGGTACAGAGCTCAAAGAGACTTATGCTGAAAGCTGCGGGGCTACATCCAAGTCCAGCAAGATCCAAGTAGAAAGCTTGAGAGCTTGGGACTTGAGGTTTGGGTGCCTGGCTTTTGCTTCGCAAGCGGGTGGCGCCCAGCCTGGATTGCGCAATGAGCTTACGCAAGCATTGCCTCTTTGTCAAAACCCAGGCCGGGGCCTTCGTGAACCTATTTACCGGACTCTATGCGACGGTGCTGCTGATCCACCTCCTGCCCCGCAGCTTGCAATCAGAGTGAGGATGAAGAAAACATCTTACTGGTGTATGCGGAGGATGCAGGGCCGCCTCGTCAACCTGCTCTTCTTCCTGCAGGCCTGGTTCACTTTGCCCTCCCTTCAGCCGAAGTTGCGCTACAGAGGCGTCGTCCCTGACCTATGCGGCAAGTACCTGCCTAGCCGTCGCAGCCAACCGGGCGGGAATGCATTTCAACCAGATTTGCTCGTTTGCCCTTGAACTTAAAAATCTTTAAGAGCGAAGCAATGCAGAGGCAGCCTGGAGTGTTCCGAGCTCCGTTCGCTCCTTCTCAGCTGCCTTGGGAAGCTGGGCATCTCACGCGGCGTGCCTCTCCATCTCCGCAGCGTTCGCGCTGGCCAGAGCCCAGAAGAAAGCACCCACTGTTAGTCTAGTGCTTTGCCGCAGGCGCTGCCGGAGCCCTGGGCCGCTGTCGCTGCCACCGTGCTCCTAGCGGTCCCTTCCCCATCCCAGCGCCATGGAGTCATAAACATTGCCGAGTCTGAGGTCTTGGCACCCTTGGATCCCGTGGCTGCCAGGTGACTGCTGCAGCTGTGGACCTAAGATCGCTTGAGCCGCACCCTGCAATCGCAAGAAAAGGCTGGCCGCCGTCAGCTTCCTGGTGCTGATCTCGCAGGCTGGCGAAGGCTTCAACCATCTTGGCTTCGCTTCCCTTTCTGCTTGGCAGGTGGAGGCCAGTGCTTCGGACCCAGGCCGGGTCTCCTGCGAGCCCTCGCATTGCATGTTGACTTTCACTTGATTTAAGCTACAGGCTTTGAGGTGTCGATCCTAGATTTGTTCATCGATGCTTTGCTTGGTAGTTGTGTGCTGCAGTAGTTCGAAGCAATGCAGGCGCGTGTCATGGCGTGTCTCCTGTCTGTCCTCCACACCTTCGTCAAGTGAAATAGTTGGCCTCAAGCTGCTGCCAGGTTTACCTGAGTCTCTGGAGTCCATCTTCCCGCCGCTGCCTACGGGAACTGCTTGGCGGGCTTTTGAAGAGTGGAGGGCCTTCACAGAGCGAAATCCGAGGTCGAGGCTTCTATTCTACCTGCTGGGGACGCTCGCACCCAGCTTACAAACCATGGACTCTTATCGAAGGTCCTTCCCAAGGTCTCTCAGCGCTTATCGGACTCTGCTGCCTCTGCAAGGAAATCCTGGCTAAGGTGCTCCTTGCGGAGGAGGCCTATGCAAGTTTTGAGGCAGGCTCATGCATAGCTGAAAGCGCCAGGCCGTTAGCTGGCAAAGCTTGTGCCTAGAGGCAAGTCCCAAGGAGACAGAAATGGCGGAAGAGCTTGGAGCCCAAGCAACCGTGTGGTGTCCTGTGGGAATTTTCCGACTGCCTAGGCCCATGCTGGAGCCTGAGGAGGACCAGCGCCAAACCTGGATGCTTCTGCAGCCCGGCCCCGAGTCTGCCAACAACTCCCCCGTGTCTCACCGCACTCTCGCGATCTATGAAGGGCAATGCCATTACAGCAGCTGCTGGTGCTACAGAGGACGCCAGGGCCTTCAGATTGATCCTGGACGCGCAACAATATGTGCACTCCTTTGCTGTTTCGTCCGTCAGGCACCTCCAGAACAGCGGCAACGCGTCGTACAAGGCCGCTGGAGTACGTCGCAACGCAGCACAGAGGACTCAAACAACTTATGCATTTAGGCTGGCGAGGGCGAGGAGGAGTGCTGAGGGGCTGTCTCACCGATCCTCTCTTAAGGAGAGGGTTGTCAAACAGATAGTCGCGTTTGCTGAGTAGGGTTGAAGCACAAGGTCTCCGCCTGCGTGCGTCTAATGATCCAACTGGATGTCTACAGGGCAAGCGCAGCCCCCGCCCCACTCCTGGCGGGCCACAATTGCTTCTGCAGCTGTTTTCCACATTTTGCTGATAGCTTAGAGGCATCTTTGAAGTTTGAATGTGCACGTGCAGGCGAAGCTGCACATGATTACTCTACGCTCCTCAACCTCCAACTGAGATGAACAGAACCGCTGCAAGCAGCATGCGATCACCGCTTTAAGATTACAGCTGGTTGAACGATTGCTGAGCCCTTGGATGAACATAGACTACCCGAGAGATGTCTGCATCACGGACGAGTTTCGCGAGGCGCTGGCGCAGGCACGGTGGGTTCAGACAGAGTTAGATACTTTCACTTCGCTTTACACTTTACGCTTCAACCCACTCTAAACGGTAAATTTTCTTAACGAAGCATTCCCAGTGCAAGCCTGCGAGGTCGTTTGCAAAGCAACGGCCGAGCAACCCTCCGAGCCTTTCCACTACATGATATGGGGGAGGAACGCAGAGGGTGCGAGGCCACAAGCTGATGCTTGAAAAGCTTGGTGCTTCAGTAGCTTGCATACTTTGTCACTGGTACTTCGGAAGGCAGCCCAAGGGCAGTGAGCATCTCGCGACCCTTAAAGAGTTTGCCGCAAAGCTGGCGGTGACGCTCACACCTGGCATGGATGTCATCAGCATTCGTGTGCTATTCTCGCCACCTGGCTCCCCTGCCCAGCCCTTTCACCTCGACTATGCGCAGCACTTTTCAGAGGTGCGGCACCACACATCGTTTTGCTAACATATATTGCGGAGTGCGGTAGTCTCTTGGTAGCTTTCTCGCGTAATTTCTTTTGGTTCTGGGAAGGTGCGCACAATCTTTATTTCTGCATCACCTTCCACAGCGTCCAACTGCACTGAATGGCTCGACTTCGGAGAGACGAATTCAGAGATAGTAGCTCGCGCGCGCCAGTTGGTGCAGAAAGGTATCACGCTGGAGCTGTCAGACCTATCTCCCCACAAGCCCGCAGTTCAGTCGTTGGTGCTGGATGCCGGGCAAGTCTGCGTTTTGCGTACTTCGCATGTCTTTCACCGGCGTGGTCCAAACAGGAGCGAATTCACTAGAATCACGCTGCTTGCCCTCTACAGTATTGGCTTTGCGAGGTCAGCCATTCACATTGTGCAAACACAGCTGACGTCCCTCTTGAGATAATTCTCGAAGTCATTCAATGGGTCATGCAGTCATGCCAATAATTTGGACCATCTCAGGTTCAACGTGGATGTGGCCCACCTGCCAGAGTCTCCAGAGTTTGTTGACCTTGATACGTGCCGATCACTTGGCCAGAAGCGCATATGTGGCCTAGACGTTGTGGACGCTTTGGATGCTGCTCGTCGTTTCAATGCTCAGTTTCCCTCGTACTCGTAGGGCCAAACAGCTGACTTGAGGAATTTGCATGCTCCCTTCTTTTGGGCACAGCTGGGGGCTTGCGCGGTGGCGGCGGCGGCGGCGGCGGTGCTAATTCGCGGCAGCGGCGACTGTTGCGGCGGCTGCAACAACTTCCGTTTGCTGCTGTCTTTCATGCTGTTCGTACAGTTCCAAGCAAGGCTGTCATGTGATCATGTGTCTGTTGGCCAAGGAGCAAGACATTTGCTTGCACGGCTTTCCAGACTGACGCCGGCAACAATCACGAGCTGAGTAAGATCTCACATCATGTAGAATGTAGATATTCTTGAGCCCCAGTGCAGGGCCGTATGCTCTGAGATCATTGTTGCTTGTTGCTTGAACGGCAAAGTGCTGGTGGAAGAAGCCTTCGGCATTAGAGCGAGCGCAGATGGAGTGCTTCATGACATGGAATCTTTGTTGCCTCCGTTGGCTCAGCATGCCATGTAGCAAGACCGATAGCGAACATTTGAGCCTCAGGAAATTGTACCAGGCCGGAGCTTGCATCCTCATGTGTGCATTGAAAGATTTGATGTACCAGGCTAGCGTGACCGGAGCCTGCTGGCAGAAGACCCGCCTGGGCGCAAGCTTGATCTTGAGTATGATGCATTTCTGTCTCTGCCTGGTGCAACAAGGTACCAGCAGGTCCAACTTACCATGAGGCCAAAGCGCTCAGACAATCAACCTTTTTGCTGAGATTGGTGCCTGACCTTTGGAGTTTTCTACACAAGAAGCTGTGTTCGGAGAGACATGTGCTGCGGAGTATGTCAATTCGAGACTGCGCAGGAGAACATCCAGGACGTGGCTGTTAATAGCATGGACATGCCTTCCGGCAGCGGGCTCAGCCCAAGCGTGAACATCCTAGCTTGGTCAAGATAAGTACTGCGAACATTATGAGACGCTTCCAGGCCAGCACTTGGTTGGTGCATTTCCCTGAAGCATGATCTTGCCAGCCATGGCCTATCAGCCTCAAGTGACATCGCCAAGAACATGCACGTCTGACAAGCAATTTGTCAGACCCCCAAAACATCTGCTGCCAAGTTTTGCAGCTCCTTTGGCATCTTCATCTGTAGACAGCAGCTGCCACACATTGCTAACCCGGACACGCACGGCCTGTCCGGCCATGTAGGTCAAAGCATGCACTGGCACCGCCGCAGATTGCGCTGGTTCCCCCCGGTTCTTGTATTGTGCCTTGTGCAAACGACATGGAAGACAAATTGCTGCTACCTTGTGGCAAAAGTGGCAAGCCACGTTAGCGTACAACGCGGCTGCAACATTTGCAGGGAAACGGTTGCGTGCCAGTCGCGCACGCGGTTCTCGCATGTCGTGGCTTGTGCAGGACAAACCGAAACCTCGCCGTGGCAAAAGTTGGGACTGAAACGTGGCAGCTCCAAAGAAGAGATTCGCACACGTTACAGAGAGCTGGCAGCCACAGAACACCCAGACAAAAGAACTGATCTAGATCCAAATTTGGCGTCTGCTCGCTTTGCTGACATCACGCTGGCTTATCGAAGCCTCATGGACGATCCAGACCAAGACAGCACCGTGAATAACTTGCAAAAGGAGGTCTGGGAGGAAGTGAATGCAGAAGTAGACCCGGACTCTTATGTCATTTTCTATGCAATAGTGCTATGGATCCTGGCATTGCTGCTTATATCAGGCCAGGATTGGTTCACTTGGGAGGATTGCTTTCAGCAGTGGCAGTGGTGGTGCAACTTCAAGGGTTCCTAGCATAGCAATTGGAGCAGCGGCGCTTACATGCTGGAATGCTGTGACTGACATTGCATTGCCGACGTCTCGTTTGATGTGACTGCCAAATGACGAGTTGTCTAAAGGAGACATGTCGATACCTGCGCCCACAGCCTGAAAGGCTTCACTTGCAGGCAAGACTTTGTGAATGGCTGGGCGCCACCAGCCAGACTGATCCAATGGATCATTCGGTGCCAGCTGTGTTGCGCGCGCGACATCATGATGACCACAAAAGGACACAGCTTGCCTAAGACAGTCCTGGTGCTCTTTTCGTCATCTCGCAGCTTCTCTTTCTAATTAGTGGCAGGCTTGTCCGAAACACCTCCCTGATGGCCAAGGCAGAAGCTGTTTTTCAGTCGGAGAGGCGCAAGCCAAGTCAAGCACTAGGTGTCCTTCTGCTAACCAAGAGTTTAAGGTCAACAGCAGCGGTGGGATCCTTGCAGCTTGACAAGGCCATCACTTCTTGGGAGCAAACGTCTGCTTGCCTGTGTGTGACTGACCACTCCCCCCAACGATGGAAAGTGACATGACAGCCTACGTCTTCAGCGGAGCCAAAGTTGAAGCCTGCAAAGTTCAATGCTACGGCTGCGCAAGTAGGCGGAGCCTGCGCATCCTGGCCTTGAAAATTAGGATGGCAGATTGGCTGGCGCACCTGTTGGGAAGTTGTCTTCATGTCATCTCCAGCCCAGGCACCGCCTTTCCTGGCAGGCAACTCCATGTATTTGACAGCTTTGGGCTCCTCTGTGGCTGGCGGGCAGCTGCATCCTTACAACCTCATCTTCAGCATCAATGAAGATCCGCTGCAAAAATGAAGGAACAGGATGTAGCAAAATCTTTCGTGGTGGACGTGCAATCACTGCGTTAAAATGTGATCTTGCTTGCAGATGGCAAAAAGGCAATCTGCCAAGGTGGGGTGCATGGCAGCTGAGCGATGACCCAGACTCACCCGTGACCGCAGTGGCTGCCTGAGACGGGGAGGATACACTGACTGTTGTTTTCATTGACATTCATACTTGTGTTGTTGGCGTTGTTGCTGCAGAGGATGTGCTAGAATGACTTCTGGACTGTGCAATATGGTATGCCTGGAGTTGCTAGGACTTAATTACTTGTTGCTAAAGTTGATGCAGTCGCCGGTGTTTTGGCCAGCGCCATTGCCAGTATCATGATTCCAGTAGTACTAGTTTCCTATGTTCTCTCATGACTTGATTAGTGGCAGAATCTCCTGCGTGTCTGCCAATATGAGTCGTAGTGATGACACGCTGAGACTTGGAAGCTGGACTTTATGGCTCCTGACTGGCAGTTTGGCACTCAACTTCTGCAGGCATGTCTGTTGGGTCTGTGCATGGATGTAGAGGGAATTCTCATCGTGGCCATACATTTCTACCAGCACCCTCACCACCAGCACCAGCACCAGCACCAGCACCAGCACCAGCACTACCACCACCACCCTGCAAAATCATGAGATTCTGGATGTGAACTCCCCCGTGTGCCTGATGTCTGTTAACCTGAGGACACTGCGTGTTTTCAGTGACTCTGGGACCTTAGCTGCGGCGGATGCCTGAGTTCCAACCGGATGGTGATTGGTGTCTTGCACATCCACAGGGGTGGGATGTGGGGTAGAAAGGACCAAAGGCTGATTGCCCGATGTTCCTGCAGCCTTTTCCCAAGAAGGCGCAAGGCCTGCAAGTTCTGGCTCAGGTGACCAAGCCGATCGAGCTGACCGAGTTGCAGAAGCAGTATGGATGGGCTCCTGTAGACGGTGCCTACCTGTCATGGCTGCGTCATCACCCGGCACTTGCCTACGCCTACAGTACTTCCAGTCTCTCATGTTGCAGGTATGAGCAGCGACGGTCTCAGCGAAAAAGGCAAGGGAAGTGAAGCGCTGTCCGCCCTCCGCAGCTGCCCATGCTCCGAAAACCGACTCAAGATCCAGCAGCGTTGCAGGCTGGGAGTTCATGGACGACTTGTGGGCCCCTGCAAGGGCCTCAGCAATGTTCTGATTGGAGTGATTCGGGGGTCTCCCAAAATGAGGGGTACCTTTTTGGGGGTCCCTATATAGTACGGACTATAGAATTTTAGGATATAGGGGTCCCCCTATTTTGGGAAACTACCATTTTGTGGCACATTCTAGCCGTGCCTGTAGGTACCTTGGGCACTTGGTAGACATCCCATGCGCAGGCCCTGGCCTACGAATATGATGCGATGAAATATCCCACGAATGAGACGGTGAATGGCCAGCCATCATATTTTGCTGGAAGCCCAGGACATGGTTGGTGTGATGGGACATGTTTGAAGAAGCTCCAAGCGTCTATCCAATTTGATCCGCAAAGCAGGTAGAGGCAATCGCTACTTGGACTGACGGTTTTGAATCCTGTCCGGCGACAACTGTCATCATGGCTTTGCTTCTTCAAACTTAGCCCATTGAAAAGAGCATGCTGCAAGTCAAACTCAACACATAGGCCAGTCTGGAGCAGCATGTGCAGATCCCAGGGAATCTTGCACGCGAAGATGCAAGGGCTCTAGATCTTGTTTTTCTGAGACCTCTACCCATCTTTGTCCATAAAGCAGTCCTTGCACCTGCGGATGCACGGCTTCTCAAGATCATGGATTGCCTTAGGGCTCCTTCACAATAGAAACTATCTAATTCTTCTTAGTGGTATGTTTCGGTACCGCGTTTTTTCAGATCTGAGCAGCAAGGAAAGTCTTCTTCTGTCAGAGTCTGTACAGCCAGTGGTAATCCTGCAGTAGTCGGGCCAACAGAAGACGCCCTAAATAGTAGTTTCCATTTTCTTTTCCATTATACCAACCAGTATATCCCCTATATAGCCCAATATATCCCGATATAACCCAATATTACCCAAAATAACTTTATATAACCCAATATAACCCATTATTTCTCAGGTGGCCAAAGAGCAGGGCAGCTATCCACCGACGTACACAGCTGCACCAGAACTGAAGGCAATGGAGTCAGTCATGCTGGGTTAACGCAATGGTGTAGGAGTTAGGAAGCCCTTTGAGATCAACTCAAGTGGCACCAAACCCTTGATCCCAGAAATCACCCGATACTCGCTCGCCCCTGCTGATTATCAGAACAAGGTCTGTCTCTCATTCTACTGGAACTTCGATTTTTTATTTCTGTCACGTGTTCTCTAGCTCCTAACAGCTGTGTTTTCGATGCTCATCCCGGCTGGCATGCTCCACTAAAAAGACGGTATGAACGCAAGACATTTCTGAGGTCCGTAATTAAGACTAAATCTGCCGTAGGTTCATTTTTCCCGTGCCGAGGTTACCATGAAAGCACCAGAAAATTGTCATTTCTAAGACCAAGAAAATAATCATCTTATCCAAGTTTCCTTCGTTTGCCCCATGCAATGTTGAGCATTAACACCCTGTGACAACAAGAATTTCCCTGGATGTTTAAGAAATCCATTATCCCTGAGAAAGACCTCTAATCGGTTGTAACCTCCCGATCCATCACTAAAAAAGCCCGCGGGCCTTTTTTGAACTCCTGTGGTCTGATCAAAATTCCTTTTGCAGGATCTAAAGCCCATAGAAACAGCATCCATTTTGGGTGGATGTTGGGTGGTATTAGTAGGAGGAGGGATTTCTTTTCAGGAGGTGTCGCTGTGGGGCTTGGGTTTTTTCAAATGGACAAAGTAGACATTATGTTAAAACTTCTTTATAATTATCTGATATATATATATATTCAAGCAGCTTGCTATGTATAAATCATCTGAGATAACATAAGATAGCAGTAATGTTTAAACAAATTCGGGTTTCTAAACCTGAGTCGCTGAGAGAGAGAGATAAACTGGCGGGGGGAGGGAGTCTTTGAAGTTAGCTTATGTTGCGAGTCCCCCTCTCCCCCCTCAACCTCAAGATAACGCAATCTGGAATGGAATAGGTCTTTCTTTCATTTCCGCCATTTGGCGGTTTGCCGTTCGCATACGATTCAAGCTCAAAAGGGTTGGCCCACCCCCCCTACTCCTCCTCCTCCTCAACCTCAAGATAAAGAATGCAATCATGAATTTCAAGTAGCAACTGAACAGGTGTTTTTTTCACTTACGCTACTTGCCTTTCGCATAGTTTTTAGGTTCAAAATGGTTGGAGTTTATAAGCTTTCCTGAGGGGGCATAAAATTTCTTCCGTCGGAGGATGAATGCAGCTACTGTCCTCTCAATCTTCACTAAACAAAAATGTTGCATTGTGGCATTTCTATTATCAAGATGTATTCTTGGTGATCCAAGCTCTTTACTAGGATGAGTTTTCTTCGTGCCAATTACTTGCAGAACAATTGGAGGATGCCCAGATTCTTGTATTTAACCAGGCTAGAAATAATGTTGCCTAGACGACCTAGGACTACAATTACGACATTACTGCAAAGAAATCTGTGTATTCACACACAGCAGAGTTGTTGGGTTTACGGTGTTTTCCAGGGTTTGCCATAAGCCACAAGAATTAAACCAGAGCATGGATAGATCAACAGGGCCAAGACCAAGCCCAACCCTTATAATGATGCTTTAGCATCGCACTCATCCTTCGCCCTCAAAAATAGTACATGGCAAGACCCAGCCCCACAGCCACACGCCCTCTCTCTTTTAGAGCCTGTCAGATGGCGATTTCGGTGCCATGTTAATTCCAGATAGCTACATGAGCTGAGCAGTGGAACAAACACATCAGGATGCTGCCTTTGGGCCAGCACAATGGCAGCTATGGGCAGCCACGGACTGCAAGGCAGGGTTTGCTTCAGTCAAAAAATAGATGTCCTATATAATCCCAATATATCCCTACTACATACTCGTTAGATCATTCCCCATACTATTCTAAGGGAGCTAATGTTGAGGTTCCTTTGGGGGTCTGGGTTTTTGTAGTGGTCCAAGCCAGGATGTCCTGGTTGCAGTCTTCAAGATGGAGCTCACAGAGGGTGAGCGGCCGGGGCGGATGATCATTTACAACCAGGCAAGGGATCTCAAAGTAGGAAGTACCAAGGGAGCCTCATATTTGGATTATAGGGGCTTATAGGGGTCCCTGTTAGGGATTCCACAGCATAGATCCATCTCTGTGCCTGTCTCGCTCGGGATATGCACAGGGCGGATTGTCTGGGGCCACAGGTGGGGCAGATAGCTGCCAAAGCTCTTACTGATCCTGTGGTTGCCCAATCCTCAGAGCAATCTGCCATGCAAGCTGCCAGCTACACCTCGGTCCGACTAGATCCCTCAGTGATGAATCAGCTGCTTTGCTTGTTCGCCTGGGCACTTCATCCTGGCAACAGGTTTGGGCTCAAAGGCTCAAGCTTGCCAAAACGTAGCTTCGGGCACGGCCTTCGGCAGTCTGGCTGAAGGCAGGCTCCAAAAATGAGAGGACCGAGTACCTCTAAAGTCTCCAAAATGCACGATTCCCATGAATGTAGTCTCGTGCAAAAATTTGCCTTCTGTATCACCTCGATCCCTGCACAAGCTACATGCCCTTGCACGCGCGTTCGTCTGCTAGGCTGCCATGGCAAACGGGGTGAGGTTGTTGGCTTTTCTGAGTCTGGCCCTGAGCCCGTCTAGCTAAGATGAAGGAATATGCTGCCGCGTTTGCGGATTTGCTCAAACTCATTGCCGCTATAGAATCCTGAACCCTCTTAGTAATTAGTCCCCATCTATGCCTAGGATTCCCAAGAGCCCCTTCTGGTCAGGGAACCGGGGAGTTTTTTCTTTTGTTACTATTATTATTACTCTTATGACTATTCCCTCATCCTAAGGCCAAGCCTTCCTCGGCTACAGCCTGAAAACCAGAGCTGATGGTGCCGAGTCGTGCTCGCCTTTGCATCTTGCTCACAAGTAAACGAAACTGTAGCTTAAGTGAGCTAAAGTCTAAACTCCTTTAAGGGGGGGGTTATATAGGGGGTCATGTAGGGGAGTGTTATTGGGGTTATTAAGGTTACTAGGAGTTTATTCTCCTAACCAGCCCCCTTATACCGTAGCTAGCGCAATCCAGCACCTTATGTGCAGTCCCAAGTATTTTCTCCTAACCAGCCCCCTTATACCGTAGCTAGCGCAATTCAGCACCTTATGTGCAGTCCCAAGTCAAGCTCAGGATCAACAAGCAATCCTATTCCGCATTGCGGGTTGGCGTTGGCACTCCAAAGCAGCAGTTTGATCTTGTCGCAGACACAGGCCTAGACACGCAAGATGGCTTGGCTTGGTTGTTGCTGGTGTTGCCAGACACTGCGAGTAAGGCACCCTGAGCTGAAGGTAGCAGCAATGTCATTGTGACACATTGCGAGTGCCGCGAAAATAGTTGCCACTGGGCTGAGGAATCTGAGGGCAATCCCTAGGCTCGGTGCAGGATAGGAAGCCTGAAAACAGGATGGGACTCCCACCTGCCCATCAGGTTTTGGCTCTTCAGGCAGATGCTTCAGAGGCCTGTCGCCACGGATGAAAGGGTCAAAATTGCCTGCGCCATGGTGCTGGCGTACTGAGGGGCAAACCGATCCTCCACGTTTGACATCCCAGTGGACTCATCGGGATATCCCCTGACAGTTGCGCCTCCTGGCATGTTTACGGAGAGGCAGAAAGCACAATTTGTGCAGTCTACGGCGCTTAAGGCTTCTGAGGATACAGGAAGAGTCCCACATGAAAAGCTATCAAAGGGGTCAGTGGTCCTCCGCTTCCTCTGCCTGAATTTGCGAGGCGACTTTTTTGAAGTTGCCAGCAATCGGCTGGAGAATACACTGTCAGAAAACAGCAAACTTCTCAGACAAAAGAGTCCTACGGAGAGATACATTAGAGCCTTGCTTGACTAGAGCCAGCACAGACACTGACAGATGGCGCCTGGCGAGCCAGAAGGGGTTTCTCCTCACATAAGATGTAAAGGCGGCCATACGAGGCCTGTTTTCATTGAAGATCGTTTGAAACACTTGCTTGTCCAAGCCCACTTCATCAGTTGATAAAGGCAATAGGCCATACCAGCAAGGCAAGCAGTGTGTCAATACTCTCATCAAGCAGCTGTGTGCCGTCCCAGGCATCTTAAAGCATATTTCAAGGCAAATTTCCTAGGAAAGTGAAAGTGCCGAAGCCTTGCCTTGACAAGAGCTCGTCTAAGGTTGGTTGCAATGAACTACTTGAGAAGGGTGCTCTGTATTTCTAAGGGTTGGCAGTTCAATTGATCTTAGAGTCTTGCCGTGGCGCGGTGTGCGTAGTCCCCACCTGCCCGTCGCCAGCCGCGCCGGGCATAGAAAGCCATGCCGAATATCACAAGCTACATATGGAACCCGGGCGAGTGGGGGGTCGCTATCAGTCTTGCGAAAATGCCCAGCGCTTTTGATGCGCAACGGTCGTAAACATGAAGCGCAGTGGATAAGTCAGTTACTTTGCACGCAGAACTGAATACCAAGCTTGAACATCAAAAACGAAACGAGATGTGCTGATAGCAGAAGTAGCGGCGACTCCTCCAGCACGGGGTCTAGTTTGGCTTGGCAAGAATTTGACTTCAGGTGTCAGAACCAGACCTGTCGTATCTGCCATGTGCAAAGGGTGAGCTCTGGAAAAGCTAGCACAAGCCTGAGTGCTTAAGGATGGAGTTTGGCAGCGGTACGATTTATGGAGTGGTTGGAACAGATGTTGACGCTCGTCTTGAATGCGCAGTTCGATCTGGCGTGGGCCCTTTAAGTGAGAAAATTTGACCCCAATCTCGACTCCTTGCTAAAAAGACGGCCCTTGAGACCTGTCCAGCTTTAATGGCTCGAGTGAGGGATGCCATCATTTCATTCCAGCCAATGTGGCCTCCTTGTTCCATCCAGTTCTCATTACGGTGCTTTGGGTGGGAGATCCCCGAAAAGGCCAATCCAAGTTCTTTGCCCCGCAGTGTAAATTGAGGGGCTCTCCAAAAAAAAAAGGGCATGGAACCTTCCACTGGTGCTTGATCACGGGACTGGTACCTCAGGTGACGGTCGGCCAGTCGTCGGCCACAATGAATCATAGTTTGGTTTTCATGCAACCTGGCGCTGAAGCCGCCGCATTTTATAGACTTTCTGTCGACTGCGGATGATGCCTGAGTCTGTTCGTTAGAGCCCACGCATGCGGCGGAAGCTCATGGAAGAAGTGCCTTGCGAAATTCATGTCCACCACATGATCTGAGCTGCTGTGCAGGCTGTCGCATTGGATGATCAGTCATCTTCTCTTCCAGTCCTTGATATGTAGTCAACGAAGTGGAAGAGCTGCTCAGGTATGATCATGAGCTTGATACTTCCATAACAAACTTCGAAGGTGGCCAGGTTCAATTAGCATGATAGGCTTTGTACAGAGGGCACCTCCGTAGAATCAGAGTGAGGAATTTTCGGCCTCGGCCTCCCGTACAAGCAGAAAGGCGCACGTTCTGGCCTCAGAGCCGCCCAGAGCCCATGACTTTTTGACATGTATAATTCGCCAGCATGTCGCGTGTCGCCATGTCCTGACTTCTACTCGCTGACCTTCGACTCAGATGCTGGGGATGATCAGTCCTGGCTGGTTGCTGCCTCCATTCAGCGGTTCTCCATGTGTTTTTCCAACATGAAGGCCGGATCATTCGCACGCAAATGTGAAGTCTTGAAGTACTGTTTCAGCTACTCCTGACAAGATGTCTTGTTCTTCAGGAGGACGGCATGCTCCGCCTGAACTCTCCCGTATTTGGCCCGCAGTTACGCACATGCAGCTGAGCGCTGGTTGCTGTCCTTTCAGTTATCACATGTCGCACTACGCGGCAAGCAAAAGCATAGCAACTCGCGTTTATGTGGCAAATGGCTTCTGGTGACGATTAGTGACCGCATCAGGTACAAGCGGAGAGACTGGGCAACCTTGGCAAGCTACTGGGCTGTGAGACTGACAACATGAAGTGGCAGGCACTAGGATGTTGAAGTTAGAGCAGTTGCATGCGTGTTTCACGCGAGCTAGGTTTCATTGGGGCCTGGATTTTCGTGGCCTGACGATTGGCGATGAGAAGGCGGAAGCGATACTATGCAATGACAAGACTTTTGGCTGCAAAGTGCTCCAAGCGCTTTTGTGCCATTCACTGCCGTTTGGAGTTGCACCTGCCAGCTACAGTAGGACTTCGCCTGGCTTCTGTTGACCAAGGAAAGGCCGAAAGACGGCCTGTGGCATGATTCCTGATGCTTGGCTCTTGGATTTGCTTGTTCTACTTTATATTGAGCAGGCTAAGCGAACACGAGGACTTTTCAGATGTAGTTGTGGCATCGCATTTGCAGGTTTTGAGTGTTTGCAAAGGTGCATGAGAGATAGAATGTTTGCAAAGGTCTGCGGTAGGGCCGTGCGAGTATGTCGTGCGTAGCTGTGACTGCAGAGTTCAAATCTGAGCATAGCTGAGGACTCAGGGACCACCTTGATTCTTGCACCGAGCCGCCACCTGTGGGAGCTATACTCCAAGCTTTGCGACCTTTGGCCTCGCTGCAGCAAGGCGCAGTCCACGATGGGATATGCTACGATGGCTGTGCACAGCAGTGGCAGTCAGATTCAAACCTTTCTGCAGGCCTTCGCTAAAGATAATTCGACCTCTGCGCAAGAGTCGGAGGATCCAGGCATCGGCAGCGTAATCGGTGAGCCACTGCCGCATCAAGATGCAGGTCCAATTTTCAAGACTTGTGGCCCGCAGCAGGATGGGCTGTCCATTTGTGCTAGCACTCTGGCCAACAATGCTCAGGACTGGATCAAGAACACGCTTGCAGCTTGGATGACAAGTGGCCCCAAGCGTTCCCAGCCTTGCCACGTCATCAGCAGAATTACGGTGCACTTGGCTTCCTGCCTTGTTGTTACAGGGAGCTGCCCTTCATGCACGCATAGCTGCTGACCACCTCTAGGGCCTCTAGAGTCCCTTAAGTGCAGTCGAATTAATCCAAGAGCAAGTCCTCGCCAGCAGCAGTCATGCCTTCGAAGGACAAGTGGGGCATTCCGCAAATCACCAATCCATTCAACCTGGATCCGGCAACACAGCTTAAGCTGGACAAAAAGAAGCCTGGCTGCAATCATCAGCCCCACCCATGCGGCTGATCGCGTGGGAGGGCGGTGCACAGTGACTTGAGGCAAAAGTTGGAGTCCTTGCTAGCAGATTGCGCCTCGTGGGCAAAAGATGCTGCCGCCTGGCTGCTTTGTGGTTCCTGTTTCCCAAACTTGCACGATCTTGCACATGTTTTGCACATGCTTGCAAAACCTCAGGCAGACTTGGACCGGGAAATGCCTCCAATCTTCTGGCATGTGCTTCAGCTGCAAGAGAGCACGCTACTACCACATTCGTTTGCTTTGATTTTGAATGCTCCATCTGCCCATCTGCTGAATGCGGGTGGCAGTATCCAAATGTGCTGAAGACGAATTCGGGTACACCAGGTGAGCAAACCAAAATGTACTGCATACTGCATATTCTGCCCAGAATCATAAGCATGCCAAGGTTGCCGGGGTGGAAGGCAAAACGCAGACATTCAGCCTGCCAGCAAGCACCTATGTAGTTGCTCGGCCCGTCATTCCGTGATCTTGGAGACATTTGGGTTTGGAAGTTAGGGATCCCATGATGAGGATTATTATATATTGCGATTTATTTTGGGTCCCTTGATAATTGGAAACTGCCACATAGCTGTGCCATGCTTGACATGCATGCTGCTGTTGGCAACATCTTGGGAAGAGAAGGTGGCATTTCATAGCTGCTATATTGCGTGTTCACTGTGAAGTCGAGGTTGCAACTGGATACAAAGATAATGTCATGTGCATGCCCTTCTTCGGCGAGATGAACTATGAGACGCGCGTGAACGGACCCATTTGGATCATGGGAACGCCTCTCTTCTACGAGTATGAGGTCCACTATGCAGGGACCTCAGCCCGCCATTTCAATGCATGTTCACCAAAGAGCTGAAGCAATGCCACCCTGATGAGGACCTGAGCACTGAGCCTGCAAGCATTTCGTTTTCCAAAACGTCATGTGGGCCAGACGCTCTGTTGAAGACTGTTGACGAGGAAGTTGCCAGCTTTTTCCTAGACTGTGTGGCCCGAGGTCATGTGGGCAAGATGGAAAGGCCATTTCCTGAATGTGTTGAAGGCAACTAACCGACGTTCTGCGCTGCTTAATTGGCCTGATCAGGTGATGCCTTCTGTAGACCTCTTGAGGAGAAGGCACCTGCGAAACGACAAGTGCTTACGCCGTCGGAATAGGAAGGCACATGAATGGCCATGATGTGTAAGAACTCCAGGAATCAGAAACTCCGCCGACATGAAGCTAAGGCCAGGCTCAATTTTGGCAGCCTTGCAGAGTCACAGTTGTCCCCCCCGCAGGTTCGGATGCCGAATTTGAACACCAGCCTTCCGCTCTGATCCTGTATGCATGACACGGCGCACCACTGAAAACGAACCGCTGGAGTGGTCTTGCGTCATCTAGGTAGGTGCAATCGGAGAAGCGGTGGTTCGTACCGCGAGCCTCCTGTCAGCTGGCAGATAGACGGCGGAAGGTCCTCGACCAAAAGGTCTGGACGAATCAAAGCCGTCCTGCAACGCTTTAGACTCTGCTATGGCAGACAAAGCACGTGCTTACACAGATTTGTCATGCAATCCTCGAGTACTCCCCTTGCGTAAGGCTACCACGCTTCGTATGCGCAGTGGGCTGTTTGAGTGCAGCTACGTTCATGTTCATCCAGGCCAGGTTCCAGTTCGTAGACATCAACAAGCGGCTGCTGGCCACCGCCGAGTCGCCTGCGTTGGGATCAAGCATTCCGATGATGTCCCTCCCCAGGATCGTGTGGCGCACTGCCGGGAGTAAAGCGTTTGCTTCAACATTTTCACTAAGCGGAAACGTTGAAAAGTAGTTGCACGTGTAGTTTCCAGATGCATGTTCTGAGACGTGACAGGAGAGCAAGTGTCGCTGCCTGAGATGGACCTTACAGGCAATGATTTTCCAAGAGCTCTTACAGGGAAAGGAACACAGCCGACATGAAGCCGTGCTGGGAATTGTCAGAGTTGCAAGAACGTCCCACCGCGCAAAGTGGCTAAGATTGGCAACATTTTGCCCTACACCCTGCACTTCGAGAGGGGCGGCTACAACCTGTCAAGCAGCTTGCTGAAGGAGGACCCTTGCTATACAGGTTGAACCTTCAACTGAGCATTGCCAAGCAACCTAAGACGCGACCGTTGTAGCTCGGGCATGCCGAGTGGGGTTGGGGAGCTTGGGGCGGGACCAGGATCTGAGCCGTGCCTACTATAGTGTGATGCAGGCGGTCTCCTTGAGGTCCTGGGACTGAAATGTCTACGTTTGCTGGTTAGGCTACCCAGGAAACCCAGCAGGTCCTGAAACTGTCTCAGGAGCGAATGTGATAGGGCTCATGTTTTCGCGCTCTAGCGTGCCGAGAAAGTGCCAATTGCCAGCCCATGTCTTGCAAGCAAGGGCATTTGCACGGCAGGTGTGGTATAGCACGGACTTGGAGGAAGAGCAATATGGTTCACTTGCAACAGAAACGACAATTTGTGAGATGGTGTTGGCACTGTAGCTTCATGCGCTACCGCTACAGGTCAGTCTGCTGGACTTGTTGAGGAGTTCTGGGGCTAGATGCTCTCAGCGATGGACCTTATTGTTTTTGAAATGGTTTAGCCAAAGATGAACTCTCGAAGTGGGTGTTATCATTGTTCGGACATGGCCCAAGTTATTCCGCCCCATTACGATTTGGGTATGGATGCTCTGGAAAATGGATGCTCTCAGAGATGAACCACCTTTTTAGGATGGCCAACAGCTGAGATGCGTCTTGGGGGAGAGTACTTTGGCTCCTCAAGGGAAGGAATTATGCTTTCCGGACTGTGCACGCCGGACCCAACAGTGTCCAGTAGAATCGCGATTCGCAAAAAGAGAGGGGTCCAGTTCTGATCATCTCTGCATCCCGCCAGTTGATTTGTCGTTGAGACCTATTTGTGCGGGGTAGCTTGTGACCTTTTTGCCGGTGCGCGTGAATCTTTAGCTGCCGCCTCAGCTGAAATCGTCAAGGTGTCTCGCACCTGCAATGGAATGAAGTTGCCTCAAGGCGCTGGCCCTCCGCACTTTCCCATGCTCCCTGGGTAAGGTACAGTTGGATGGATTTACATAACTACTGCATAGGGTGCAGCTTAGGACGACAGCTGCATGCGCGTAGGATGGTTTCCTAGGTCGAGTTAGGGTGGCGAGCGGTGGCACAATCATTGCCTTGCTCAAGACGGCTTGGGTGAAGCTAGCCAGGCATTGTACACATTTCATCGAATGTGTGTTTTCCACTAATGTCAGTGGAGGAGTTCCGCTGGATCATTGGCTCGGCCATTCAAGTCCAGCACTCGGTGCTGACAAATGACCCATTGACGCTCAATCATGCGTGTTGCCGTTTAGTTCATGGAGTTGGTGCCTTGGAGTTTGCAGATGTGCTTTCTTGAGCGAGTGATTTTGTTCATGGTATCACCCAAAGTTTTGGTTATGACCATGACTAGATGACGTGAAGCAAGAAGCTCTAAGAAACCCAGAAGACAAGATTATGCTTTGCGCGGCAAATTTGGTTCGAGGCATTCTGCCAAACCGTAGTCAGATTCAGATGGCAACGTCGTAGAGTCGAGCCAGTGCTTGGTCAGTAGCATGGCCTTTGCGCTGGCATGGCTGCTTTGCAGCCTCTTTGTTCTGCCTACTTCGGCAGAGGACCTCTCGGGCATCAGCGGCTTCTTTCAGCGTGGCACAGACAACCTGGCGCTCAGTCGCCTGCAAGCGCCACCACCGGAAGCTGATGATTCGCCAACACCAGATAGCTCAGAGAGGCTCCGGAGTACGTGCAGAGGCTGCGCTTGCTACAAGCGCTGGATGGGCCAGGACTTTCCAGGTCTGAATTTCTGCACCGACCACAATACGGCTTGGGAAAGCGCAGCCGGCAAAACGCCTAACATGATGTGCATGGTAGCGGACTCCAAGTGCGAAGGCAAAGCTGAAGGAGCCTGCGAACCCAACTGCCCTCGATACACCACAAATGGTTGTGTTTGTGAGAGAGCCTGGACCATGGAAGGTCACGGGGAATGCCAAGATTCCTGTTGCAACCCAACCAATGCCGAGGCAGAATGGTGCATGGTGACAGATCCTAGCTGCCAAGGCATGCAGTGGGGACCTTGTGCACCTGGGCCAGTGCGGCATCCCAAAGAGCGCGTTACGAGGAAAGGATGCAAGTGTGCAAATGGCTGGAATGTTCAGGTTGATGGTGAGGTGCAGCATTGCCACACTTTCTGCTGCAACCCATCTGGTCTAGGAGTTGAAGGTGATGTATGTGTCGTGGAGGATGAAGCATGTGAGGGAATGAACATTGGACGATGCCGCCCGTGAAATTCTGGATCTGAGCGCTGGGTCCCATGTTGTAGTCTCGATGTCTGAGCCCGCTCCAATGTCATGGTCATGCTAACAAGCATAGCAACCGGCTCGAAGATAAGATTCAGGAGAGAGGGTTCTGACGCAGAAGTTTCACCATGCTTGACAACTGTCTCCGGTAGCCTGGCATCGCTGCGAAGGCTGTAGCAGTAGATCACCCTCGTGAATTGAAGCTGCGTTGCATGAGCCGGGGCAGCAAAACTGAGCAGTGCAATCCATGTTGGTAAGTCGTAAACTGCCATCAACTTAAGGCATTCCAGAATATTCAAGAGCTCCAGAGCCTCAGGTGCGCGCCCTACAGGATGCCCACTCTGGATTTGTCCCGCCCTTCATCAAAGACAGGTGCCCTGGACTGGAGCTTTGCAACTTGTCCTTGCTGAGCATTTCGCTTCAGATACCTGCTGTTGTCCATTGTCCTTTCACTGGTTCTGACTGTGGGTATCCTCATCGTCTCCCTCCTCACAGGCAGAGACTGCTGCTTGTTCAGCTGTTCTAAGTAGCCTGAAGCAGCTTTGTAAGCTCTTCATCAGAACGCATATCGCAGGTTCGTTGAGGACAGCATCGAGGATATTCTTCTACAGGGATAAGGTGGCCGGGCTGGCTTTGGAGGGCACATGTAAGGAAACCCCCAAAAAAGCCTCAAGCATCTGCCAGTGAGGCTGGTCCAGGCTTCAACGTCATGTCTGAGCCACCAGTTGTTTAGATTGATAATGCGTGCCCGCGCAGCCTGGACAACGGCAGAAATTGTTGCTGAAGATTCCTGCCTGTAGAAGGCCGCGCGCTGTGCCATGGGTAGTTGACCAGAGAGCCTGCATGGATTTCTTCACTCCGCAGCCCCGCTTAGCCTCAAGGGGCGTCGCCTCCAAGAGGTGAAGGGTAGGCACTGCCGGCTGCGAAATCGCAGTCTGCAGGGGCCATGAAGGCCTGGGTGATTAGTCAATGTGATTGGGTATTTGAATCAGAATCATATCAGGTTAAGCCAAGGCGCCCAGCACGTACTCCGCTTTAGCAGTTAGCAGGGACAAGGGCTGTTGAACGGCAACCAAGTGCGCAGAACTTGACTTCCTCGATTACCATTTTGCAAGCGGTTTTTCCCAGTCTCTCAGCAGCGTTCAGGCAACCTGCACGCCCAGAGCTGTAAACGTGCCATTTGCCAGGTGCTTGTCAACTGCCAAGACCTGAAGTTTGAGGCACTCTTCCTTCTCTGCTAGGAAGAAGCACTGTGCTTGCTGCCTGACTGAAGGTGCAATGTGGTGCTGGCAAACAGCATATGCGCTGGTTGGAGCAGATCTCAGAGCTTTGGTAGAGCATGAGACTTGCCGACATCATTGTTACGGCTCCTTTCGTCTTGCTGCTACTGAAGGCGCTTGTAGCCGCCACACGAGTGCAGAGAGAAAAGTATCCTCACGCGTTTAGGGCACCCTGACTGCATTACTTGCTTGCCGAGCAGTTAGCATCGCACAAGGGTCAACTCGTAGCTTGACACACGCAAGGTGCCTCAAAGAGTTCTGAACTCCGAGGGCATGACGCTCAAGCTTACCAGACATGTCTTGCATAGCTTAACATGACCTGCGGCAAAGTTTCAATGGGAAAGTAAAAGATTTGCAGCTCATGACGTTTGCCAGGCCACGCCAGGTGATCTGTTCTACCCTGGAGGATGGCGAGGAGGCCGGAGCTGGCAAGAGTGACGTTGGTCTTGCTGGCCTTGAGACAGATGGCATGCTCCTGCATTCCAAGCATAAGCATTTGCAAAAGATGTCGTCAGGTCATCATCGAGCTCAGACAAGGCGCTGCTATTGTGGAGGAGGCAAAGCCGTGACATCTTGCTTTTAACCCCCAAGACGTCAAGCGGCTTTTGGCACCAGGATGTCGATGCACTAGAGTGGTCGGAAGAAGCATATGGCCCACAAGCCAACCTGATGGAGTGCAAGTTTAGGCTGGGCGGCATCATAGCGCAACGCCGAATGCTTTCTTTGCTCCCACCAGGTGGAAGGTTGGCGGGCAGCAAGACTTCCCCAAGTACGTGCGTGGTGAGTACGTAGTCGCACCTCGTTGGCAGGGGGCGCGCACCTCAGTAATAAAGGCCACAAGCATGCAAACATGTCATTGCATTCCCAAGCAGGTAGTGAATCAATTTCATTACTCCCTGTGCTCAGTCAAGGGAGCCCCCAGATGCTGAGGTGTATCCGCAGAAGGACTATGGCGGTCCCTTCGAGATACAGATCATCCCTGTTGACATTGGGCCCGATGAGGTGGACTGGATTGCTTCGAGGACATTGCCAGCACGTGAGAGTTGGGTTCACAAAATCGGGTTAGCCGGTTGCTGCCTTTCGAGCGTGTGGCCATTTGTCCTTGAAGCCAGCTCGACCTCAACCAAGAAGCGCACCTAAGCAATCTAAAAAGTGCTTGCTTCCGCACATGCTGGGCAACATGATACGTTTCCTCCTCAGCGTTGCAGTTGTTACCCTGGCAATTGCCTTCACAGTGGGCCTCATCGATGCATGCCCTGCCTTCAAAACTTCAAGCCCCCTCATCCCAGCTAGCTGTGACCACATCTGCAGGAAAGCGCCGCCTGGCAGCTGCACATACAGGTGCAGAGCGTGTCCCGCAAAGAAAGAGTGTCGTCATCATCATCATCATCATCACTGCTACCTCTGATGTCTCCAGTGCCGTTCAATACATACCGGTCGCGAGTCGACCTGCCATTAAAGCTGCTGCTAGAAAGCATGCTTCTACTAATCTGAATAAAGCACCACGTTGTTTTGTTGAGAACATGGCTGCCGAAGCTGCGTCACCAGTTGGCACAACCTCGCCGCCGCGCATGTTCGGGCAAGGGGCACGTTTTCAACAATTGTTGATTGCAAGCATGGATGCTGTCACATATCCTTTCAACCTTGCCAAACTCTGTCGGAGGGTTAACAATGTTTCCCTGTGACTATCATGAAGCAAGATGTCCAAGCGCTAGGTTTGTCATGAAGAATGACTACGAGTCCATCTGCAAGGCCTTAAACTGTTGAAGCTCTTTTTGAAGGCCAGGCGCCTGTCTGTCGATCCAGGCGGACCCAGAAACTTTGACTTCTGATGGTCTTGCACACTACATAGAGCCCTGGTCTGCAAATACTTTCTGAGCAGGTTTGCTGAAATGCCGGGTGCTGGCCTGTTTTTCCCCCATAAATCAACCAAGGAGTTTCAGTGGGACGTGCCTTGGTGGCTGAAACTACATGTACTCAGAGCAAATTCCTTTTGAGATTGAGATTGCATTTAGGACTGCACAAAGCCTAGGTGCCAATTGCGCCGGAGCCATATCCGGAGATTGACAGCCGACCGTCCACAGCCTCTTCCAGAGATGGAGCACAAGTAGACCCCAGATTCGAACAGGAGACCCCGCAAGATGTCATCCCCCCGTACATTGTAGGCTGTCCTTGTCATGACCACAAGGACATGACCTTGCCACGGCACCAATCTGACAGGACTGGGAGGCCCTACGGCTGAAGCCTCCTTGCTGCAAGATGTGCACAGACATTCGGGTGAGAGTCTATGATAAACAATGGCGGACCAATTTAATACTTCCTGCCTACTGGCACTGCATGGGGTATAACAGAGCAATGTGCCCTGAGAACGTTGCAAAGACTGAGTTTGCTGCAGACTCTGGGACCTCACCACAGCGAATTAGACCTAACTTCGATTTTGGGGTCATGCGACTGATGCCTTTTCGGCGCTGGCCAAGCCGGGCAACTGGACGGAATGGAACAGATGGAGGGACAGAGGCTGAACATTTTGATGATTTGAGGGTGTCAATCGAAGAAGGAACTGCAGAAAACGTCTGGATCACGAGTAGAAGAGCAAGGAAGTCCCTTCAACCGCAGGAACCCTCCGCATGCCCCCTGCAAAGAAAGCAAGTGCAGCGGACAGTTAACAAAGGCATTCACAAATTTTCAATTGAACAGTCCGACAGAGGGCCTGATTGAATGGGACGTCCGGACATCTAGCGGCCAGCAGGGGGAGCTAAGTGCAAATCAGCTGTCTTGATTGAAGTGGGAAACTTCCAAGGTGGGTGGAGTCGTTCATGAAGGCGGGATATTCAACAGATCTGGAATGTTTTGGTTCACTGACAGTTTTGATGACTGCATGCTGTTGGTTGTGAAGGTACGTGTCAAGGATGTGCTAACGGAGTTCTACGCCATTCTGATCGACCTGTTCGACTCGTACGCGTTCATGGGCCCCTTGCTTGTGATGCGTACATCTCGGGTACCGTAGCAGCGTGGAGCGCTCTGATTGAGGCTTGGATCTGTCGGCAAGCCAGCACACCATAGGTGGCTGCCTTAAGATGGTTGCTTCGCAAGATGATGCTGAAAGCCCGAGAATTCGTAAGATGCCGGCCTGCCTCTCTGTGATAAGGTATGGATGTCTGTGCCCTAGTAAGAAGTGTGGTATTGTGCAGGAGGTGCCTAGACATGTCAGTGCGCCGGCTCGAGAGACGTCAGGACTGGAAGCACCTGGTCATCAACTGTGGTCTGCTTGAGGGTCAAGCAGAAGGCTCACTCAGCTGGCGGGCTGCCCAAGCCATCAAGGTTTGTTTCAGCAAGATGAAGAGAGCATGCTTGTTTGAGGTCGCAGGTTTGCACTTGGTTTGAGGAAGCTGCAGGGATCCGAGACGGCAGGCACGCTCGAAAAGCATCGCGTTACATCCATAATTTGCGGGTGCAGCTCCAGAACTGTGAAGAGCTGGTGAGGCCATACTTGGCTCAGCGACTGACCCGCGCCCACTACCTGGAGATCCGTCTTAGCTGAAGACTTGCACGGCGAAAAACCAGAGATCCTGACTCAAACATCCCGATGTGAAAGTTCCTTTGGCTCGGAAGGAGCTGCTGATGCGGACTGCCTCCTGGACAATGTGCGAGCAGCCTCGGGAGCCAGAACCTGAATATCCCCCAGCCAGTGCCTGCAACCCATAGATGTGCAGCTCAGGAAGTATGCCCCAGAGAAAGGGAGGCCGCCCATGCCCTTGGATGAGGCACCTCGTCCAGATGTGCACGCAAGCTTGTAGAAGGATTGTGCTGCCAGGGTCTCTTCCGTTTCATCACGGATATACTCATCCCAGTCATGGACATCTATGATGATGATCCCATCCGAAAAGATGCAGTCCAGCATGAAAATCTAGTGGTTATTCAGGCAGGCACACTTCCTTGCGCTGCGATGCGGTTGGCCGGGAAATGGGCTATCAGGAGAACCGACGGTCCATCCGATCAATATACGCTTTCTTGGCGCGGCGCTCAGCTTCTGCAGCTTTCGCTGGTGGCTCTCCTTGCTGATGCTTGCTAGCTTTGGAAGAGCGGAGGCACAGCCATGGCCGTATTATCAGGGAGAGCGTGTTTTAGTTCCGGCCGCGCTCTCAGAGAGTCTGACATTATGACCCCCAGGCAGCCGTTAACTCCCAGTCAAGTTTCAAGTTGCTTCTGTCATTTGCCAGGCTACACTAAAGTACGTCCTGGAGCCAGGCTCCCAGGTACCCACTCAGCTGGATTCCATTGAAAAATGAGTTAGCTTCCACTGAAAAATGAGTTAGCTTCGAACGAGACTGGCTGGGCTGCAAAGCGTTGAAGAAGCACGGCATCGGGTTACTCTGTGCAGCACATACAAATCTTCCAGAATCTGATTATTGAGCAGGGCGGATAAAAGTTCATCATACCTCCGAGATATCATTACTGACAAAGCCGCCACATTTGACATAGCAATTGACGTTCCCCAGGTTCGCTCACGAGAAGCTGTCGGAAGCTAGTGGCGCCAGATGCCTATCAGGGTTTAGGTTAGGGCCTAGGGACTACTACAGGATCCATTCCTACAGGCTGCAATTCCTATATGGCGCCTCATTCATGCCGCGCAGCAGACAACTGCAGGGCTGACGTTATGAATGCCAGCAAGGAGAAACAAGAAACAGTAACCGCCACAGTTGTGTGTTTTTACGTCTGCACTTTTCGACTTTCTAAGGAGGCTGCACCTCCAGCAGAGGGTGCCGAGGGCGAAGCTCCAAAGGCTTGCAGCTGCAGGGCAGGGGATTGTTCAGGCTGCTGAAAATGCCCACTAGCAAAAAACGTGGTAGTGGTGGAGGTGGAGGTGGTGTCGGTGTCAGAGTACAGTAGGATAGGGAGGATGAGGAAGTAGCGGAGGAGCGGGGTCAGGCATTTTATCGTTGCCGTATTTGCCATGGATGTACTCTCTGCTTGCCGTTCACGATAGCTGCGATCTCTCGCTTCTGCAGCTCAGCGCATACATTAACTGCTACAGATTATTATTCCGATTGCTGTTACTATTACTTTTACTATTTCGATTGCTAGTTACAGTCCGTCTGGTGGTCACAGCAAAAGAGGGCGCATGTGTTTCGCAGCCCGTCAGCGTGGACATGGCTGCCATTTTCGGCGGAGAGGCTCCGCATCTAGACATCACCACAGCGCATTGTCTCATGAATTGCAGCTTGTGCTTCAGAAGAGCCAAACATGACAAGTCAAAGCTGCATATGGTTTGGCAGGAGCACCTGGACCTTGAACAACTTCAGGCAATCCTGGAAAGCTTCGACTCTCATGCCTGCGCCCTTCCAATCAACGCGTTGCTACTGCACTGATTCAGGTGCAGTGTTGCATCTTCTTTGCGGGGCCAAGGTCAGCAAGATCACGGCGAATCACCCAGAAGAGTTCGATCAACGAGCGCTACTTTTTTGGGAGTTCTTCGAGGCTTGAGAGGGTGTAACTGCAGGGAGGCCGAAGAGCAGGCATGGCTGAGTAGGTGGTCATGGAATCCTCCCGGGGCCTGGCATCCGGCCTAGGGACGCCCCTGGACAAGGCCTTATCATCACTGGCTATCTTGCAAATTGAGCAACCCATAGCTGCCATTCAGGCGATTCCGGCCTATGTGCAAACCATGCTCGTCCATGCCTGAGTGTCTGAGAAGCTGCGTAGAACAAGCAACTTGCCTCCTACGAGTTAGAGTAAGAACCGCAACAACACTTTACTTCTAAAACGGTTTCTGTCTCTCCTGGTCACGCCAGGCCTTCATGGGACTGGTTGACAGAGACGAAGCTGCCCTCCCTCCACCACCGGTTCAGGGCATGGAAGGGCCACAGCCTTACATTGCACCATTGACACCGTCCAATTTCAGAACCAGAGCGGCTGAGCAACTTCCAATTCTAGGGCAGATGATGAAGCCCTTGGCGACGTAGAAGACGAGTGATGGGCCGTCGTCGAGGGATTGATTAAGGGCGCACTTCAAGTGTGCCCAGTTTCACTAAACCAGCAGAGTGCTGAATTCAAGCATCTGCGGTTGCTTCACGGCTTAGTGGTGCTTAGACATTTCGAAGCACGACAGGAAGATGTTTTAGCGATCGCACCCTAGATGCTAGCACCAGCCAGCGTGTCATCTATGTCTGTTTCACACCACAAGCAGCAGTGCATGCGGAGCCAACAAAAGGTTTCATTCTATCGAACATACTGCCTGATCTGCGCAATGACCATTCATGCTATGCTGTGGCTGAGTTGCCCTGTCGCAGCATGTCCTTTTCGATATCGAAATGATTGGGGTCCTGCAACCTTGAGCATCCCGCCCCAACTTCATATGGCTGCAGCCTCGGGCTGTCTCAGATGCCCCTCATGCCAGCCCAATCTTTACAGTTCTCATCTAAGGGAGTCGTCGTATGGTTTACCGGTGCCCCTCGGAAGTCCCGGCCCTGGTGTGTTAATGGCTGCACTGGAACCTCAGCAGTTGCAACAGGTATGTGTGACAGCTTGGTGCTTCAGAGGCCACTCGCGCTTCGCGTCGCTTTTAGCCTCGGGCCCAGTATTCCTTCAGCACAGCCCCAAGCTCTGAGGCAAATGGTGCATCAGCAGGCTTCTGCGGCGAATTGCTTCCTTTAATATGATGCTAATTTGTCGTCCGCAGTGTGGCCCCATGTGAAGACATTTGCGTATTCAAGGTCTGGCCTTGCTCTCTTCGGTGCAGGCTTTGATCTGCTGGCATGCTTTGGCAGCATGTTCTCGTATTTGGCGTGTTTGCCCGCCACATGTGCCATCTATAACATGCATGTGTGAGCATTTGCACATACGGTCTGTATATCTATCTAGGTGCAATGTGTGTTTATTTGCTTGCTTGCTTGCTTGCTTGTTTGTTTGTTTGTGTTGAGCATGCACTTCCCAGAGATCACTCGCACCAGGTATGAGATACCAACTTGGGTTGGCTCAGGAATTGATCTGCTTGTGGCATAAAGGACTTGTGTGGATGCAGCTCTTGTGCGTTGAGACATGTGAGACTTGAAAGACCTCCTTTACTTTGTCACGGTAGCGGAGCTGAAAGGTCCAAGGGACGGTGCCTCGTTTTACACAGCAATTGCCGCAACCCGTGGCCCTCACACATTTGCTTACTGACTCGAAAGACTGGAAACAGTTCCTAAGATCATTATTTGAAGCTGCTTACTTGAGACATTAACCCCATAATACTAAGGGTGTAGGGTCAAGGTTTTACGGAGCCCAGTTCTTAACAAAAGCACTACTGGGGTACCTAGCTACAACTACAAGTAGTTGAATGTTACACGAACCCCATAGTCGAGTTTAAGGTGGCGAGTTGGGTTTCCACAATAATTAACAGGGTGCCTTTTCAGGGTCCCGTATCATAAGGAAAGTAACATACTGGATGTATTTAGCCCTGTGGACCCTAAGCCCTAAACCCTAAAACAACTTCCTAGAGCTTGCGGGGTGGCAGTGCGCTTTTTCTAGCATTTAAGCCGAAGACGTGTGATAACTCTAGTACTCGCAAGACTATTTGAGCTATAGTCTGGACTCCAAGTATCCCCCTTAATAAGCCCAAGTATACTCTCCTATATAATCCCTTACATGACCGCCCTTAAGCAGTTTAGACTATGGCTCATTTTGTGTTGAGGGCTGCATCAGGTATGACACGCCAACCTATGTTGGCCCAAGACTTGATCTGCTTGTTGCAAAAAAATGACTTGTGTGGATGCAGCTTAGGCACACGTAGCTGTGCCTTTGTGTGTTGACACGTGGAAGACCTGAGTTATTTTTTCAATTTGTTTGTGTGGATGTTTTTGCTTTTGGGACAGCACAGTGAAGTAATCTGGGCTGGAAAATCCAGCAAGGATTTCAAAATTCGAGCTGGAATTCGCAAAGTTCGCAATGCTGCCATTAGTAGTCATTGCCGCATGCCAGGTCAGGCCCCAGGCCCAGTGCCAGGCAAGATGATCATGTTGCAACGATGACGAAGCTGTCATACGGGTATTATTGAGAAAATCGTGTCGGGACTTCGCCATTCTCAGTTGCTGTTGCTGCATTTTGGAGGTCGGCCACTTGCAAGCTTAGGATGTATGTTGGGTTTTGCTTATCCTGGATGCGAAAATGTGTCTATATGTAGCAGGTGTCCCAAGCCTTCATCAAAACTGGTTTCAGGCAAAATGAAATCCATCAGCGCGGGCGATGGAATGTTTCGATGAGGTCTTCTGAAGATCAGGCAGCATCGGCCCGGGGTTGGTAAGGTATTGCATCAGACCATGCTGCACTGAAACGCATTCGGCTAAGCATGTAGGGACGAACGCTGGCGCAGCACCCATGTGCAAACTACTGTGGTGAAGAAGCTGGCATTTAAGATGTGTTTTGTACAGCTAATCATTCCAAGTTTGTTGCCATTTTCTGCTCACAAGCCAACAGTGTCAAGAATGCCTAGCAACACATGTGACAATCTGCGTGAGCGCAAACTCCAGCAATTTGGGCGTGCTCAGCAGCACTTTTGATGTTTCCTGCGCGTGTACTGTAACGTATTTCCGCCTTTCAGCGTGCGCTACGTAGCAATTTTGATTGGTGCTGTGTGGAAACTGTATGGCTTTGCCCAGATTTGCAAACCTGATGCTGTGGGTAAGGATTGCCTTGGATGAGCTTCTGGTGGCATGTCCTGAAGCAGCAGCGATCGCCCACACTGTGCCACCGGTTCAGACCACTGGCTACAACTGTGCCTGCGGATTCCAAATTCTGGAGCTGGGTACGGAGGACAGATGCCAGAGGCACGCAGCTGACCAAATTACGCAGGAAGAATCAGCAAATGCAGCAGAGAGAGAGAGAGAGAGAGTCAAAGGGCAATGACGCCCGGAGATGGGGTTCAACCCCCTCTCCATAGCCTGAACGAAAGAAAGAAAGAAAGAGCGTCCAAGTATGTCAAAATCAACGTCAGAGACCAAAGACGCCCCGGCTCCTGTCTTTGAAGGAAGGAATTTTGGCCTATATAAGAAGAAGAGCGATTTTTGAGAACCTCCGTGCAGGTTAGCCTACGCAGTCCGCGAAAACTTCCAGGCTGTACCCTTGGAGGAGCCTTCTTTCCCAGCAGCGGCACCGAGAATCCAAGAGTCCTTAAGACCCTTCCTGGAAGCTTTGGAGGAGTCACCAGCAGTTGCTCGTTTTAGTCATTCAGACTTCCAAGCTCCTGCGCAAAAAAGTGAGACGAGTTTCCACCGAGTAAGCGTCTCTAGACACCATCACCAGGGTCCTTGAGTGCACTTTCCGTCGAATCGACCATCTTGGTAATATATGTTTGGGTGATTCGTTGGACTCTGTGGGCGCCGCAAGCTGGATCTGGCTGATCAAGTGAAGTTTGATGCAGAACCTTAGTGCGGGGGCATGTCAAGGGTTGGTACAATATATTGGCCTGAATTTAAGCGCCTAGTCCTTTTCAAGCGGCAGCCAGGCAGTTTGCAAATTGTCCTGCACCGAGGTCCGGTCAGGTCTGAAGACATGCAGATTCTTGTGTGGCTGGGATGCGCGCCCCTGGGCAGAAGACTTCAGTTTGCTTTGAAAGTGCTAGGTCGCATAGAATTGTGTCTCTTGAGCAGATGCCCCCGTCTAGAATCTAGAGGTCGTTTGGAGGTGCTGCTGACCTATGATCGCCCACTGACTGCAAGTTGGGATGAAGATGCTGAAGCTTTGTGCTCTGCGGCGGGTCTCAACAGCTTGGAAGGCCGGAGCCGGGGCGCACGTCGGCGGATTGGGGAGGAGAACTTTCCTGCGGTCTAAGGCTAACTGAGTAGATGTGCTTAAAGTTCAAGACTTTGGAATGAAAGTTTGCAGGAGCCTGCATTTCAAGATTCGCTCGTGATTTGGCAGCATCGCTTTGAGTATTGCCGGCCCGGGAGCGACTTCCCAGCACCCGCGAATAAGGAAGCCGCCACCTCAACAGTGGAATTCCTACTCCAGCACACAAGCAGAATGGCGGAACGGTCCTGCACCTGCCTACTGGAGCTGCAGTGTGGATTTGGTTATCGCACCGCGGCGCTGGGCCACTTTTTGCAAGGCCGGGTCAAACTCATCGCGATGGAAGAGAGCGCGCAACTTTTAGAAGCCACTCGGGACAACTGTGCTCGTAACTCCGCGCCGGTCTCGTTGTGCAAGGGTTCACTACATGATTTGATGTGCATGATGGAGCTGGGTGCACCTGATGCATTGATAGTATCGTCTTCAAGGTCATCCGGTTTGGCAGAGAGCTTCTTTGGTTTTCTGGCAGAAGCGAACGTTAAAGAGGTGCTGTACCTATCGTCTGGGCGATCATCTGCGCAGCAAGACTTGCCCAAGCTACAGAAGTCCGGCTTTGAAGTCCAAGCTTTGCAAGTCGGAGATCCCATGCCAGGTGCAGACCATGTTGAAGTTCGGGTGCATTTGATGCGCCAGAGTCGTGGACAGTCAGCTTGCCCTGAAGTTTTGATGTCGGCTATGGCAAGCGTCAGCTGGCCAAAGTGTGACTGGCTCTGCAAAACCTGCGAAAACTTGGTCTTTCGCAGGCATGTGCGGCAATGTCCTCGTTGCGGTGGCCTTCGTGACCTCCGTGCGGTTGCCCGACTACAGCAGAAAGCAGAACTGTCTACAATCATCAAGGCCATGCAAAAGGAGTCAGCAGTCAGAGAAAAATGGCTTCAGCATTGCAAGTCAGCGGAGAATTGCAAAAACCCCATGCTGAACACGCACAGCTCCAATCACGGCTTCATACTGAAAAATGTTGATGCGTTAAGTTTGGCACCATATGCAGGAATATTGCGGAAACATGGGATCGAGCTGAGATCAGACAAAACCGTTGAAGGCGACGAGCTGCCCACTGTCCACCCCAGCAGGTCTGCTCCGCGCCAGCTCTTGATTGTCTCTGCGACAAGAAGTGAGTGGGCTTTGCAGACAGCGTCAGAGGCGATGCAG